TTTAATGTTCTTCTTTTCCAACTTCTATTTAACAAAAAATAACCAAAAAGTTGGCGAAACATGTTCTCAGGAGACCAAGGAAAAGGTAAGATCAGATCATCACAACATAAAATGACTTGATCAGAACATCAATCAGGTATACAATTTTAAAAAGTAAAATCAGAAACTAGGAAATAGTCAAGAATACAACCAAGTGTCTAAGTCTATCAAGGTAACATGCCTATGGGGTTTGATTGAAATTGTTCAAATTTTACTTCAATACGAGCGACCTTAGAATCCCTCCCAGAAGAAGTTAAAAGCAACCTACCAAAAATTGACAAACTTCCAGTCAAAATTATGTAACTAGAATCATAGTGGTTGACGCTTCTTCTGAAGGCTTTCACGTGCCAAATGCACATTTTATCTTTAACTCCAAACAGCAAACAGATTACTGCCGTTACTTATAAAAAGATTTGTTATTTCCACCAAGTCCATACGATCTTGAGTCAGAAGCTGCTCAGTCATGTGGTTGGGGAAGGTCAAATCATTCCCTAAGGTAGCAAGCCAATTTTATGAAATAAAACTATGATTTCCACCACAACTTAAAACCAGGAAAGTAAACTATTCTAAATAACAACAGTAAACAGAAAGATCAAATATTTACCTCTTGAACTTGTTGTTTGGCCCGCTCTTCAAGTATTTTTTCTAAGCTCTGTTTCTCCCCTTCCAATTTAGCAACCTTGTTCTCACGTTCTTTAATAGCTTCCATTGCTTTTGCGGCTGCTTTTTCAGCCAGGATCTGTTGCCTTCTTCTTCTCCTTTCTTCTCTTTCACGTTCACTTTCCGAGTCTGATGAAGATGTTGAATCTGTCTCAGAATCAGACTCTGCATTACTAGGTGAAGAAGAGCTCATCTTCAGAGAAGTGGAACTCCGAGAGTCCAATTTTGGTCTGTCAACCATAGCCTTTGCAGGCCTATTCCTCTGATTGTCATCCAGTTTATTCTTCATGTCCACTTCCTTATTAAGAGTGGAAGACCCCGGTACAATGCCAAGGCTCTTATCTCCAGAACGATTATTCACCGGAGACAGATCTACACCCTTAACAACGTCCAAACCTTCATTCTTTACTTCATTTTGTACATCCTTATTTCCATGCAAGGACTTCACATTTTCACCCAAACCTTCCCCATCAATTTTGAGTTCAACATTTGAAGTTACCGGCATTGTATAGTCCACATTGCTAGCTCTTCTGTCTATCCTTCTACCGTCTGCCTCATTTTCTGAATGGATATTTGGTCCTTTAACACTCTTAACAACCTTTTGAGGTTTCTGGCTCCTTTTCCCATCCAAAGCTGGTAAATTTGACCCAGACCCCAAACTTCTTTGCTTTCTACCATCATTCCGACCGCTACGGGCACTTCCAACTCCATTACTACTAGTAGTCCCCCCAGCAGTGGCATTTGAGCACGGTGCACTTAGTAATTCAGTCCAATCATTATCAGTCAGAGCATTGGGACTGGACTTGGGACTCGAATCTACTGGCGTCACCGCTTCCTTATGTATCTTATAATTACTATTGCTGCCAAAGCTATTATTCTTATCCAGGCTAATAGAAGAAGAATTGCGATCAGTTTTGGCTTTCTGAATTATATCATTTGTTTCAAGACTTTTCTTTTTGAATTGATCCTTAAGTGGCTTGTTTTCATTAGTTTTGGCTATGTTTTCACGATCTATATCATCAGATCGCTGCTTCTCACTCTTACGGAGTGAATCAGCTGCTTGTTGATCTATCTGAACCACTCGAATAAATATTAGGGAAAATCAATTAGATTACTACTAGGAGTACAAAGTACAAAATTATACTCGTAAAATCAACCAAAAATTATCAAAATTAATTCCACTAAATTCCTAATAAAAATTATAGGCAATTCGCATGAGATAAAACATGAACCTGATGAAGGAGATTTTCGGCGACTTTGAGCTTGGAAGAGATCCAGTGAGCCATGGCTGTCAATTAGTATATTGCCTTGTCGGTGTAGATCAGAATTGAAGCATTGTTAGCGAAATGCTGCTGCGAATTTGATTTCAGTGAAGAAAAACTGAGAGAGAAAGGCCGAGTCGGAGTGGTCCGGGCCGTTTGGTAACCTCTTCTTCATGAATCGAATTCTTCCCGGTCCGAACTCAGGGGCAAATATTACTGCAAAAAGAACTTGAAGATTTCGAATGAGAGATAAGGGAATAATATTTTGTGGATTTATTATTTAGGGAACACTTGATTTTTAAGGGATCAATTTCTCTATTTTTTTCCTTTGTAAGAAATTTCAGTTCTTCTTTGTGCATATTTCAGAATTTGGAAATTGAACTTTAGAATAGTTTAATTTTTATTAATCGTTCAATCCATCTGATCACAATTAGTTATCCTACTTTTTTTTCTTCTTCTTTTGTTTACTTTAAATAATCCTAATTTTATGTTTGCTTTGCTTAAATAAATAAATAGATGTTTATTTGCATTTTCCAAGAAAAATTTAATACTATTAGGCATTAACATATATTTTATCAAAAATATACTGTAATGCATTTGTTTAATACCTAATAGTCATATCAGAAGTAAATGAGATATATTACATTATTTATTAAACTTTCAAGTTTTGATAGGTTTTATAGATTTAAGCTTGTTCATTCTCGATTTTTTTTTTTGTGGGGTCATATGGTTTAATCATAAAATATTTAGAATTTGTTTAGAGAAGTTATAGTAGTCTTGGGTCTAATTCATGAAAAAGACGTAAATATTGTACAGATTAAAGAAACTAATTAACCAAAGTCTTCACGAGATACATCATTCAACAAATTAGACAACACTAGTAAAATATTTATATTTCATGATATTTATATTCTTTTTGATTAAATTTTGAAATTATATATACACAACCCATCTATTGAATCTCCAAGAATTGAAATCAAATAAATATGATTATTTTTCCTCTTAATTTTGTACAATCTATCCAGCAATTGATTTTTCTTTTGTGCATATAATTTTTTTAGTTTCATCAATAGTCGTGTTGTATATTCTATTGCATATAATTTTGGGAAAATTGTATATAATAGCAAACTATTAATTCAAATTAAATGCTATAAATATAGTTTGATTTAATTGAACCCCATAGCAAACTATTGCTATTTAACCTCTCTCCTCGTGAATCTCGCTCGCCACTCTCGTTCTCTCCCTCGCCTCTCTCGTTTTTTATACAAACACAAGTGTATAAAGTGTGTTTGTGTTTGTATAAAGCGAGAGAAAATTGTATATATACATATATTTTCGTTCCCCTCTCTCCCCTCTTCCAGATCTCGCTCGCCACTCTCCCAGATCTCGCTCTCTCACTCGTCTCTCTCACTTTATACAAAAATCGCAAATTGTATAAAATGCGTTTGTGTTTGTATAAAGCGAGAGAAAATTGTATATATACATATATTTTCATTCCTCTCTCTCCCCTCTCCTAGATCTCGCTCGCCACTCTCCCAGATCTCGCCCTCTCACTTCCCTCTCTCACTTTATACAAAAACGCAAATGTATAAAATGCGTGAAAATTGTATATATACATATATTTTCGTTCTCCTCTCTCCCCTCTCCCAGATCTCGCTCACCACTCTCCCAGATCTCACTCGCCACTCTCCCAGATCTCGCTCGCACACTCGTCTCTCTCACTTTATACAATTGATCTTTTTGTATATGTATACCAAAGCAGATTATACAACTGCTTTCTTTTGTATATATATAGCGAAATATACATATTTATGTTTGCTATGAAGCGCAATTATGCAAAGTTTGCTATAACATACAAATATGAATTTTGTGTTTGTTATATGTGAAAGTTGCTCTAGAATTTTTGGTATTGTAATTTTTCTACATAAGTTTTTCTTTTAAAATGTATTTGGTACCAAATATTCCTCACTACATAAACAATTTATATTAGATAAAAATCAATCGATGCCATTGAGCAATCATATAAGAAAATTTAAAACAATTTATTGATTCATGCTTTTTTTTTTATTCAGTCCGATATACATATTAGAGCCTTGAATAGTTCAAAATTACTTCGTCGTGTAGAATTCAGGGAGAATTGATTCATTCTTTAAAATAAAAGGACTAAGAGAAATTTTAGATCTCTTTGTTTCTGAATAATTAACTTTCACCAATATTCATAATCACTTTATCATTATAGTGTTGTTTCGTTAGTACTAAAATTTACTATAGTATAATATTTTTTTACTTGATCAAAAAGAGATCGATCCACTTGCTACAGTGGAATAAGGGGATGGAAGGAGTTTATTCGGATCATCTTCTTCAAAGAATTATATTATATATATTGTCAATATTTTTATGTGTATATATATTTCATACTATACATATCGTCAATATTTTTATGTGTATATATATTTACTAGAAAACAAAGAATTAGTGATAGAATTTTTTTTAGCTAAATAATAATAATTTTATTCTAATCTCTCTTGTTCCTGTATAATTAACTTCCACTAATTAATTTTCGTAATCACTTTATCATTATAATATTATTTCATCAATACTAAAACAATATTTATTTCAGTTGATCAAAAAGAGAACGCTCCACTTGCCATATGGTGAAGTTAGGGGATGAAGGAGTTAATTTGAATCACCTTCTTCAAAGAATCGTATTATATACAATAATCAATTTTTTATGTGTATATCTACAAGAAAACAAAAAATTAGAATCAGATAAAATTTTGTAGCTAAATAATAATAATCTTATACTAATTTCATTTAACTATAGAATAAATTATATGAAAAATCAATTAGCTAAGAGCTATTTAACATCGGATTAGCTAGAAATTACCAATAAACTTCATAACTAATTCTACATTTTCTGGTAGTATATATAAGTTCACAAAAGAAACAAAGAGATTGGTTAACAAGAGAAAAGCAACAACCAAAAGTAATTAAAGTGTGATCCTCTTTTTCTTTTTTTCCCTCCAACTATATAATATGTCAAAAGAAATTACAAACAATTAGTAAATTCAGTAACAACAATTAACATTTTGTTTAGTGGCTGTTACTTCATTATCCATCATGTTAATAATTTCTAATTTTTTCCCTTCTTGAAGTGACTTTGGTGTAGTCACTTCATTTAACTTTGCTTCTAAGCTCTTTTGGCTTACAATTTCATGAATTTTGTTAATCATTTGTAGAAATGCTTCTTCAACATTTAAATTTTCCATAGCTGATGTTTCCAAAAAAGATAATCCTTCTAATTGTGCAAGGCTTTGTCCATCTTCAATATTTACTTGTCTTGAAGAATTGGATAAATCAGATTTGTTACCAACAAGAACAATTACCATGTCTGAACTTCCATATTCCCTAAGTTCATGTAGCCATTTTCTTAAATTTTCGAATGTTGTCCTTCTTGTTATGTCGTAGACAAGTAAAGCACCAAGGGCTCCGCGATAATATGAACTTGTAATTGCTCTAAACCTGGAGGACATAAATATTCGAAACACTATATATGTAATATGATATATTCAATCGTAAATACACATCATATATTTTATAATCAAACACTTGCACTCCTATATAATTGTAATCCTAGACAAAGGATCGTATATTTTAAAATCGTACGCCAAGGAACATTCATATAGTTAAGTAAATACAACATTGTCTTCTACGTGTTAAATTTACCCGAAAAAGAAAATAACATCCATCTAAAAGTTTTGATTCAAGTACACTATAACGACAATTAATTAACGATAATAGCTTAATTACAATTAAATATATATTTTTAGAGACAATTAACACTCTTTTTAACTGTCCCGAAAACCTACATCGACATTAGATTCAATGTTAATTAACTAATGCTGATAAATTTTTTGACTCTTTTTAAAAATATGTATATTTATTGCTGCTAAAAGTTATACTATAGTGATAGTACTATTGTCAAAAACTACACATCCACACTCCTTGTAACAGTTCAAAATTATAGCCCACCATGAAATTAAAATATTAAAAATAATAATAATGCAAAGTATTGACGACGTCGTATTTGCATTATGTTTTACTTTTGGTAATTGGATATAGATATATATTGAAATTTAAAGCAATTATTTGAATTGGTGTAACGGATAGCGGACACGACAAAAGAAAAAACAAAGTGAACGTAAATCGATTTAATTAAATTTTAAATGTATGTTTTTTAGTCAAATTTATCATTTATGTCAAGTGAGCTGGTATCTTAACTTTAATAGACTTTTTTTAGATGTTTTAGAAAAAAAAACAATAGACTTTTTAGAGGCGTGTAGATAAGGTTCATAGATCAATTGGCCGGTTTGGACTGATGTTGAAATTAATTTTAACTTTCTTGCAATTTTCACATCTTTTCTCTCAATTTCCTCTTTGCATGTCTTACAATAAGGTTATACTATTCATCCATAAATATTTTGTTAATACTTTTTTATTCAATTTTTTTTGAGATATTATAATAGTAATAAACCTAACTATATACCATGAAAAACAATTATTCCAAATGAAAACTTGATTATCACAATGATTTGTTATTACAGAGGATGATTATTATATAGAGTTCTAAGAGTTTCAAAGGGAGAATCCCAACAGTAAACCAAAACTTGCACTAATTCAATAACTATGATCATAATAGAGACACACAAAATATGTGTTAAGAATATATTTTTTTCTTTCTATGTTCGGTATTTGTATTAATATTGGTTATATTTGAATTCGTGCAATGTATGATCCATTTTTTGGGGAAACGTTTTAAATATGATCTTTTTCATTCTTAAAGATTTGAACTCGAGACATCTGATTAAGGATAGAAGGATCTCAATCATCCCACGACAATCCATGTTAAACAATGAAAGAAGATTGTTGAAGAGTAGAGAATATAAAAAGGAAAAAGCTGGGTACCTTTCTTGTCCAGCAGTGTCCCATATTTGAGCCTTGATGAGTTTATCACCAACTCTAATATTTCTATAAGCAAATTCCACACCTATAGTTGGCTTAGAATCAAGCTGAAATTGATTTCTTGCAAATCTTGATAAAAGGTTTGATTTCCCCACAGCTGAGTCTCCAACAAGAACTGACTTGAATAAATAATCACACTCTTCATCAAATGAATCATCCATACTCATCAAGAATTAGTAATTAGTATAGGAACACTAAAAATATTTATAAAATACAAAAGACCAAAAAGAAAGAAAGAGGAAAATTGTTGTTGAAGAATAAGAAGAAGGCAGGTAATGAGTTCAAGTCATAATCACACAAACATAAATGTGAAACCAAAGCCATGAGGACTTCTTTGAAATGGCTAAGGGGAAAGAAAAAAAGAGAGGCAATGAGTGTATACCATGTGATACCCTTTTGATAATGACATTATTGAGGTTCTTTGTTTATTAATTATGTTCTTCCAAGTCTATTAATTATTTTTCATTATCCAATTATATTTTTGTCAAGCAAAGATATAGAAAGATCTCATTAAAATTTGAGAGTCGTTTGGTGTGAGATATATATAAGGTATAATAATCTTAAGATAAAATGTAAAACTGTTTTATCCTACGTTTGATTGGAGGTATTAGATAGTCATTGGATTATTTATGTCATCATTTATATCATAGTGATAAAATAAGTTATCTCATATATATATATGTTGGAATAACTTATTTGATGAGGATAATATATTTCGGCATAATTAATCCTGAAATAACTTGTTCTCAACCAAACAACCCCATGGAGTTTAATTTCTATACACCTGTGAGACTGCGTACACCCTATCCTTTTCATATCTTATTCTAAATATATTATTGTTATTATTTCACATATTTTTTGCATTATCAGATCACATCGAAGCTAGTTACATAACCGCTTTTAAAAAGTTGATCAATATAAGATTTTTTATTTATTTATTTATCCGATATCTGATATCTATTTTAGGATCATAATTGAAATTTGAATTTGTGTCCCCGTAAAAACTCCAAAAAAATTGCTCATTAAAGGGAAGCTTACCTGCTATACTGCTCATTAAAGGAAAACTAACTTACTATAATAAGTTAAAATATAGTATTGAGTTAGAGTGTATAAACTTCTTACACTATTAATTATAAGTACTTATAGTTATTAGGTGACATCCACTTAATTTGTAGTGGTAACCAGAATGTTGGCTACTAATTTAATTTTCCCTATGTCCAAATAAATTGATCCATATGTAATGCCCTTTATATTTTTTCCCAATTTTTAAATATGGAATAATTGCTTGTTCCCATGCTTCATGATTGAGGGTTCCTCACCCAACTGTCAAAATAGCAATGGGACAGGTGGGGCTAAAAGTTAGTTAAGTGATTATCCTCCTATATAGTTAGAGGCATCTTAAGAATAAAGTAATAAAATGAATAATCATTCCTAATCCATTTTATTTTAGAAAATTAAAAAGATTTTCACCTAATTGTTGGTAATTATGAAATTGAAATACTCCGACATTCAACCATAATATCAATGTGTTTGGTATCAAATCAAGTCATTAGAGGAAACCAGTATCTAAATTCTAATAAACAAAAGAGAAAAAGTAAGAGGTAAGATTTATGTGTTACAAATAGAATCGCTTTATTGACAATGTTCATTTTTTTATGGACTTGCTAAAATAATAGTTCGCTCATATAATTTTTTTAATCTTTACAAATGTTTGCATATAATAAAAAGTATAAAAAATATATTTGAGGTGGACAAAAAAAAAAATAGTCACTGTATACATGTGACCAACACAATCATTTTCTAAACTTTGTTTCTACCTCAAAATTAACCTATTTTTGACCATTAAGGACTTATAGAAGAAATGGCGTCACAAAAAAAGGAAAAGAAATTATTGAAAAGTTAAGTCACGGATGAGGGTCATGTACAAAGTTGAGCAAGACTGAAAGCTACATATAGAAATATGGAAAAATAATTGTAGATTTTTTTTGTTTAGAAGTAAAAAAGAGATATTGGATCATTGATAAGTATGGATTTGGGCTCCTAAAGCCCATTAAAGATAGACTAAATCCATACAACTCGTTCCATCGTTGAGAAGTAGAATTATTATGGACAAATTACCAAGTACACAACATTACAGGGAGAAGGTTTCACAATTTGAAATTTAAAAATTATAATTCAGTTAGAGGTTTATGAATGACTGATTGGTTGAAGGAAGAAACGTACGCGTGATTTGTGGGAGTCAATTATAATTTCCGTTTTAATCCATTATTTCACACATTAAACTGATAACAACAACTTAATAATTTAAGTATCTGCCCTTTATTAATTAAAGTATCCGCCTGCAATGTTATGTATCTGAAAGACACTAAAAAGAGAAATTTTTGATAATTAATGAAAGAGTAGGGATAGGAAGTAATTTCTTTCTTATACTATGTGATTTGCTTAATTTTTACAACTATTATTTCGAGAAAATTTTAGAAATAACTAACTTAGTTGATAACGCGGTTGAACGTAGATAGTTATCTAGAAATTGAAGTCAATTAAGCATCAGCTTCCGCCTTCGAGAAGATTCTTTAATTTGACCATGTATCTTCATCTTTACCACCAATTGGCATTGATTAATAATTGTCGTCTTTAAATAAATAATATCATGTTGTTGATCCCTCTATAGACACATCATATACATTCGTTCAGCTCTTTTTCTTTTTTTTTTCAGTTTCTCTCTTATTAATTTTTACTAGTAGACGTATTTGTGTGATGCGCAGATAATATTAAAAAAAGTAATTATACGCTCGAATATATATTATACACTTAATTTTAATTTATAGCTCAATCTTTTGAATCTGAACTGATATAATCTGCACGTAGATACGATGGCAAGATGTGTACTCACCTAATCTGCATCATAGTTTATATTCTTTTATTTTACTTAATTTGACCAGTCCACTAGTACTTTTAATTTAATTGACACCCTTTTAAATGTCTTAATTATCACACCTACTGATATGTCATTACTTGCTGGGCTTTCTCTTTCTATATTAAATAAGGTGTGTGTTACACTTAATTAAGACAAATTTAAATCAGAATTGGGAGAGAAAAGTAAAGATATCTATAATTCATAACGTAAGTTCATAACTTCTTATAAAATGCGTTATGTATGACGTTCATGACAAATGATGGACCGAACTTGTCAAAGAAAATGACAGATAGATATCTAGATTAACTTATGAGCAAGGAGGACGCACATAAAATTTTACTCCTTCCATTTCATATTAATTGAATTTTCGAGGCATTTTTCATTTTTCAAATTAACTTAATTGATCAATCTTCAAGACTATTTTTAAAATAGTCTTCCAATTTTACCCTTCATTTGGATTTTCAATGTGATGACTTCAATAAATTTGACAATATTAATAAGGGTGAAAATGGAAAACTATGTTCAATTTATGTCTTAATCTACTTTTCTTAAAAGGTGTGAAACACCTCAAAAATTCAATTAATATGAAATGGAGGGAGTAGTCAAATTCCACATCAAAATTTGAAAGCAAAAATGAAGGATTTTATAATATCACATGTTTACGTGATGCACATTTTTAAGCTCGATGATGAGCTAACATTCGCAAAGTCTATTATAGATCAAATTGGAAAATGTGTAATCACATGGTAGACGGGGTCGTTTGGTCGTAAACAAGTTATCTCAGGATTAGTTATCTTGGGGTACTGTGTTATGCTAGGACAACTTATTCCACCATGTATATGAGATAACTTATGGGAAGACTACATAAATCTCACTAGTTTAGGTCTTAATTACTAAGATTCCCAGTAGTTTTAAATATTACTTCCTCTACCATATTTCATGATTAGGATACACGAGTTTGAATATGTGAGATACATTTATCTGTCGAATTTTAAAACTGAGATACGTATTTTATTTATTTAAATTAATTGATTGTAACTGATTTCTTTAATTAGTGGAGTAATTGAGGGACGATTAATTTTGGAATTAAATTAATCAAATCCTTTAAATCTAAGGTAGAAATCAAGAAGTATATCTATGTTTAATAAATTTCATTTTATTGTTATTTGAAATAATAAATTCATTAATATTATTAATAAAAGACAAAAACATGTATATTTTGGTTATGTAATTTGATTAATTTCATTTTATTATTCTTAAATTAATAAATCATTAATTTGATGTATCTATTATCAATATATAATGTATCCAACAAACTAAACACTTAGATACATGAGTATCAAACAAATATATTCATATGTATCATAGAAGTATCTAGTATTAATTTCGTGCATTTGTTATAGGGGTCTAGTATTAATTTCATGTATCTATTTATATAATTGAATATTAATTTCATGTATTTATTTATATGATCTAATTTTAATTTCATGTATCTTTTATATGTATCTAGTATTAATTTATACATTATATTCAAAAACATGTAACTCGGATACATAATAATTAATAACATATATATATATATATAATCATGTATATCAAAATATAGAATATAATTGAAACACACTAATTTAGGAACAAATCACGACGGTAGTGTGTTTGTTTTATCATTAATCCAAAAAAGTAAGAAAATTCAAAATTCTTCCGGCAACAAAACATTTTGAAACCGATTATGCTTGCATCTGACATTCCTTCTACAAGATATGCATCTTGGATACATAATAATAATAATATATATATATTATTATAATAATTATGTGTATCAAAATATATAATATAACTGAAACACACTAATTTAGGAACAAATCAGGACGATAGAATATCGATTTTTATCATTAATCTAAAAAAAAAGAGTAAGAAAATTCAAAATTCTTCCGGCAACAAAGCATTTTGAATCCAATGATGCTTGCATGTGACATTCCTCCGACATCATGGATCCAAAAGTTTGTTGAATCCATGATATTACTCCAACCGCTGGATTAGTCCTTGTGACATTTAGCTTTGGGAAAGGGTTGCATATGCCTAATTGAAGAGCAGTATTTATGCAGCAATTCGGCAGATTGGGTTGAGAATGAAGTCAAGAGGCAATAGATGTCAATTAGGAATGAAAGAGGGTTGATGGATGTGGGAATGGGGGAGACGGTAGATGTGAGTATAAGACCTTGACTTGTTAATGGGTCATTAATTAAGGAGTTTAAATTTAAGATAATTATTCAATATCATATTTAAAGGATTTTTGTATCTGATTAAATCTTTTAAAATATATGATATAGATATTAAAAGTGGTAGTATGTGTAATTGTTTTAAACTAGAGATAAATAGTGTATATATGATAGTGATGTATGTGTAGTTAAAGTAGTTTTTCCATAACTTAGGGATCTTATCACTATGATATAAATTGTGGGATAAGTTATCCCAACATGACAATGAAACAAGATATAAAAATTTTATCCATCACTATTTTCTTATTTCACCACTATTTATTTTTATCTCTTATACCAAACGATGTATATTAATGGCAAAAACAGTGTTTCAAATGATACATTTCTCAAAAGTTAAAATAAGTCTTCTTCCGCCCCGATTGACAGCGAAACAGCGTGCTACCGGCCAATACCGTTTCTCCCGTGTAAACGAGTAAAAAGACACTTTCCCAACATCTGGAAAGTGGCGAATAATTGGTGCAACTTTGAATTATCGATAATATTAAATCATTAAATTATAAGTAACGCAACTTCATAACGGAAATGCTAGCAATTTTATTACATAACGAGAGGTAGATTGAAAAAGAACTGTGATTAGATTGGACTTGACTAAAGACTTATTACAAATAGAAAGACAGGAAGGTCCAAAATTAAGGTCGAACTTTTGATAAGATACTAGATAAAAAGGTCGAGAATTAAGATAGTGTCAATCTCTAATATCTTGTATTCATCAATAATAGTAGTATCTTATTTTTCAGTTCTCATTAATCATTATCACTTACTGGTTTGTTTGCTCTATTTATTTTGCTATTTTATTGTTATTAGAGAAAAAAGTCTGAAAAATATTTTAACTTTGACCAAAACTGTTGTTATGATATCAAATTTTATGGAGGACTTTTTACCCCACTGCATTATTTAATAGTGTATTTTAAAGGTATATATATGTGTCCACGTAGACACGTTACTATTTATAACGATGCAATATTTATGATGTCCACGTGGACACATATATATCTTTAAAATACACTACTCCCTCCGTTTAAAAAAGAATGACCACATGGGCACATATATATCTTTAAAGTACACTATTCCCTCCGTTTAAAAAAGAATGACCTCTTTTCCTTTTTAGTTTGTTTAAAAAAGAATGACCTTTTTTTTTTGGTAACATTTTAATTTCAGTTTTTCACGTGGTATGTTTAAGACCACAAAATTAAAGTGCAATTTTGTACATTTGATATAACTTTAATTTAGGGCCACATGATTCAAAAATCTTTTTTATTTTCTTAAAACTCCGTGTCAAGTCAAACTAAATCGTTCTTTGTGAAACGAAGAAAGTATTAAATAGTGCAAGGGATAAAAGATCCTTTCCAAAGTTATGTATTCTTACAACAACTTCGGTGAAAGTTTGGATATATTTCAAATATTTTTTTCCCCTTGTTATTATTTTCTTTTTTATCTTTGTTTTATCATGTCTTCTTTTGAGAAGAAAGATATTTTCTCCTAAACTAAAAAATGGCAAGCTTATTTTACTCTTCACAGGAAACGAAGAAACGAATGTCAGAAAAATAAACTAAAATTTCATATAACATTAAATTCAGAATCCACATTTACTGTTAACGGCGTTAACCTAACAAATTCATCTTAAAGTTTATCCTTACGGTTTCTCCGTCTATCATCAGTTAGAGGTAGAAACTATATCCTATAAGGGGACGCACTATAATCCCATGCGCCTCACCTTTATCAGCCGCTAAAAAGGATAGTAAAACAAAGACTAACAATAAGAAAAACCTAGAGAGCCTACTTGCTAGTAGTCATCATCTTCTTAAACTCTTCAAAGCTAACGTAACCGTCGCCGTCGGAATCAACGGACGTGATCATTTTGGTACAGTCCTGAACGGAGCAGCTTTCGCCTAAACGAGTCAGGATCTGGTGAAGCTCAGCGGCGGAGATCAATCCGTTACTGTCCTGATCGTATAGATCAAAGGCTTCACGAAGCTCCTTAACGCCACCGTCACCGACGCTGTTAATGTCGCCTTTACAGAACTCAGCAAATTCCTTGAGGCTAATGAAACCGTCTCTGTCTGCATCAATTTCATCCATCATACGAGCGACTTCTTCGGGAGATGTACCAGATCCAAGAGCACTGATGACGCCGGAGAGCTCGTCGCCGGAGATCATGCCGTCGCCGTTCGTGTCGAACCGTTGAAACACTTTCTGCACCTCATCCATGTTCTGAAGGTAAAGAGAAGGCTTGGAAACAGAGTTATTGTTGACATTGTCGGTAGCAGCCATTCCCGCTGATTTGGAAGTAATAGTATGAGAAAGAGGAAGACTTGTAATGGTGGTTATAATGGCGGAAATACGTCTATATATAGGAGGGAAATGTTGGAAGCGTAAAAAGGAACCCCACGAGAAAAAAAAAAGATTCTGGCCGCCGTGTGGGGAATTAATGTACCTCTCATTTTTAATTGTCATAATTTTTTTATAAGATATTTGATTAATATTTTATGATGTATTTTTCATCATATTGCTATGCAAAAAAAAAAAAATATCCAATCTATAGTACTTTTTGTATATTATTTGAATATCTAAATATTTTGTTTAAAATATTAAATTAATGTAATGTAATTTAATTTAACTTTGTAAATAAGTCAAATTGACTTTTAAAAAATGCGATATGATAAATAAAAATGGACAGAAATTGTATTTTTAACTTTTTGCGTTGTTGGTAAAGAATATGATTCCTTTATATTTCGACATATTTAGTTTCAAATTAATATTTTTTTTTAAAAAAAATTCCCATGGTAAGTTAATGTTGAACTTTTTTGTATCTTCAATTATCATATTTTCTATGATGGTGGTGCCAAGGAATATCTGCAAGGCTGCCACTAGCAATATATCATATGGAAAGAACTATCTAGTGTTTTTGTTTTCATTGAGATTTGAACGAGAGACTTTATGACTTTTAATTATTTGATTGACTAGTAAATGAAACAACACAATATTATTAAACCAAAAAATAAAGAGATGGAATATTTTTATTTTCAAGGTTTGATTAGTTAGCCATAAATAAATATTTAATGATTATAAAGGCATTTTTAGGGAACTACCAGGAAATTTCAAGAGGATAGGGAAAGGAGGACCACGTGAGATTTAGGCGTGTGTAAGACGTGTTTTGGGTCCTAATCTGAAAATCGACCTTATCTACTCCCTCCGTTCACTTTTTTTATTTTTATTTTTTATGTTACGTTTTCCGAAAGTCAGTTTGACTAATTTTCAAATTAAATTAAATTATATTAATTTTATATTTTAAACAAAAAAATTTAGACATTCAAAAACTAAATGAAAAGCACTATAAACTGATATTTTTTGCATATTAATATGATGAAAAAATATATCGTAAAATGTTAGTCAATCTATAATTTGACTCTAAAAGAGGAAACTATGACAATTAAAAGTGAACGGAAATAGTATTATTCACTATGTAGTTCAATATTGGAATTCGGCAACTACTTCGTTCCTCAACACTTGTCTCTTGGCAATCCTATTATAATTCAGCTACTCATCGACACTTGGATTCTATCATTCCTAAAGTTCACGCAATACAATTTTAATCAACACAGGAACTATAATCCGACGTGGTTTATCTAAAAAGGAATTGATTGGTGTAGCAAAATACAGTTATAAAGAACATATAATATAACGTTCCAAAGAGAAAAATTTGATTGATATAGTAAAATATTATTATAGATGATAATTGATAGAAATATCATACTTTATATGATTAGAATCAATTTTTATGTTCAAATGCTGTGCTCCAAGGGACGGATTCTACAATTCAAACAAAGTCAGCTGTACCCAAGAGGAGAAAAAATTAGTGACCGAATATGCCAAATTGGAGAAATCACTGTTTAGAAATCTAATTTTAGGCGATTCAATATTCACAATTTGATGTATGATCAAAGTTCAATATTTGGCAACGAACATTATCTTACCAGCAACGTAATTGAGGGCTTTTACCATAGTCCATAAAATATACTTTTTTGAGAACCTGAAAAGTTGAGTCCACCATCAGCTAGCAATGTAATTTAACTTCTTGTAATATTATATATAGGTCATCTATTTAATAGAGTTGGTTGCAATCACTACCTTTTTACGTGACACATGGTGTAATAATTCTACATTGTTAGTGCATAAAATATAAATATGTTTTCTAAGTTTTACGACTCCCTCCGTTCACTTTTACTTGTCGCTGTAAGTCAAACAGTGACAAGTAAAAATGAACGGAGAGAGTACTGTTCATTCATTCAATTGTCAAGTAAAAGAGCAAGGAAAACAAGCAGTGTTGGCTCTAACCGTGATGTTTAACATCAAACATTATTGTCAAAACTTCCTTCAATGCAGGAATAATGTTTAGTAGATCTTTGTACGGATGATGGTCTATCTAATTTTGTAATGTGTCCGGATTGTTACGATACGCCTCAGAGATTGCATATAGCCTTTCAACAAAAATTAACAATCATCTTCTATGTCTCCGATAATAAAGGTCAAAAACAAAAGTTACATCCCAATCGAAAAATCCTCAACAAAAAGTTTGAAATACCAACATCAACACGTTTTCACAGTGTAAGCACTACTTTAAAAATATGTTATATCCCAGAAAGGAAAAACATTCAAAGTAGTACAAAATTAGGCGTCTCCAATTTTCAACCTGGTGCAGGAGGTGGAGGGGGTTGCTGCATCGACATATGGGGCATAGCATGGTGACCACCATTAAAGTGCTGAGGAGGTGGTGGCGGACGCCAAACATTACCACCCATTGCAGCTGGTGGTGGAGGGGGCCTATTTAGAGGTGGAGCTAACTGTGGGGGCGGCGGAGGTGGCATTCCTCTGAATTGCATTTGCTGGTGCGGAATGCCACCTGCAGCTGGTGGTGGCATAGGCTGTCCCTGCCAAGCTTGTGGTGGAGGCATCTGCATTGGTGGGTAGATATTAGGCTGCATAGGTGGTGGCCGAATAGCTGGAACAGGAGCTGGAGGCAGAGGACCATTTGCAAATGGACGTGGGGGAACAGGAGCACCAACCGCACCATTGGCTTGAGGAACACCGGGAAGTGTTGGGGGTCCACTTGCAAACATGGTGTGAGGCCTGTTTTTCTGGGTACCTGGATTACTCGAAGCTAAAACCCTCTCTGCATATCATCCACAACAGATCAGAATTACCCCAAAATGTAATGAAAAAGTAATGACTACATAATTCAAAAAGATAATAAAAGTAAATGAAATTCAAATTGCAGAGAAAATGCACAATTAGCAACTTGTGCATTTTATTGAATCACCCCACTCTTACCCCTTGTTACACACTTTGGAGTAATCAAAATAATAGCTCAGTCTTCTACAAACTTATGGTCCAAATAACTAAAGAATAAATTCAACTGATATATTCGCAACAAGCAAAACATTCAAGAATCTTGATCGAAGACAAGTATCCACATCCTAGCATTCTCAATTTCATTTTTCTTAAACACAAATTCATTCTTACCAGCAGGGGTTCCATGACGTTCCCCCTTTGTATCTTTCTTGTAGGCATAGGACACTGTGATTTGGCGATTGCAAAGATATTGACCATTCATAGCCTGCAGAAACGCCAAGTTGGAAGTCAATGTCCAGATGCATGCTAGAAAGCATCTGGCATGAACAGAGGATTTGAAACCTCAAAAGCAACAATACATTAAAAATCCAGTGTTCTCCAAACATGTAAACTAGTAATGTCAGATGAAGATGCAAAATTTGCACTCAAGTTAACCATATCTTTACTAACAACAGGGTCTTTATAATTTAACAGGATTTCAGGAAGCTGGTTCAGCAGTGCCAAGTAGATTAAATTACAAATTAGGCACTGAAACAATAGACAGTTCTAAATCATCATATTGGTCACTTAAACGTGTCTGAGATAAGATATTCAATGCTTGGAAGATGTATCCTGCACACTATTTATTTATTTGTAAGTAAGATTTTATCGCTATCAGCCTATCATCACAGCAACCAGAGGGTGATCCCAATCCTTAAAAAATGTAAGGAATCTAGGAAATCCATCAACTGCTCACATTCATATACAGCCACTCGACCTGTTTTTCAGAAATTAAATGAAAGCTCCAACAATGTGATGGCATTATGACTAAACCAGATAAAATAATAGTACAAACCAAACCAGAAAATACTCCATTTTCAACACATTACAACCTCCATAGCATGCAAATAGCTTATCCTCTAAAGTCTGATCAGAAATGTATCCTAATTTATAATCCAGACATTAAAAGAAGACAGGAGTCCACACATAGCACAGGCTCCAAGTCAAACAGTAGATAACATTTAGATTTGAACTTTTTTGGACTAGTAAGTCTCAATATATCATGTATCTGAATTTATGGTTTTGTAAGCAAGGAGGTAAAAGGAGAGTTACCTCAATTGCTGCATCAGAGGCATCAAATGAATCGTAACTAATGAAACCAAAACCCCGGGAATTCCCTGTCTCGGGGTCTCGCATAATCTGGAAGAAAAGATACTACATCAGAATATAACAAAGACCACCTATAAATGGCAAGTAAACTATGTGGTCCTAGTAAAATGTATGCATTGTTACTTATTAAAAAAACCAATACATGCATAGTTTGTCATTCAAGCTGGTTTAGCATGTTGAAATGACTTGCTGTCTATGTAACATGACAGCACTTTCCCCTACATATTTCCAGTATCCATAGAGATTCATTTAATCTTGTAAAAAATCCAACAAGTGCAATGTTGCTTTGCCTGTCGGCAAAGATGGAGTAGTACATATCTGGTCAGATCTGCCGTTATGGGAAGAAGATACAATCAATCGACCAATCAACTACACCTCAGCCCTAAATTAGTTACAGTTGGCTGAATGAATTGTCACACACAAAAAGATAAAGAGTTGTGGTGGCGGAAGAGGAAAAAATGAGCTTCCATCCATGCAGGAGGAGGATGAACTTTTTCCTATTTTGCCTGGTGATGTGATTCTAGATGCAACAACAATAAACTAAACCAAAATCAAACAAGCACGATAAGATTGTTAGGAGTTAAAAACACAAACTATAGCATGGCTACAAAATAGGCGAGAATTAATCAAACACAGATTGAGCTGTTCTTTTTCTTTACTAAGTAGGAAGTCCAGACAGCATCTTCAAAAGCAGCAAAATGAAGAATCATGAATCATAAGAAAAATAACGTTAACCTTTGGATTTGAGACAACAACTCCAAAAGCACTAAAAGTGTCGTAAAGAAGCTTCTCATCTACATCCTGCATATAGAACAGAAATGGGTTTATAAGTTAATAAAAGTGCTAGCATGAGCAAGGTGATATAATATGCAGATTATGTTGTTATCCAATGTCCACAACCAGATGCATCTGATTTGAGAAGAACACAAGAGTTCGTAAGATACTATCAAGGATATGAATTGCTTACAGGATCAAGGTTCCCAACAAACAAGTTGGCACCAACATCAACACTCTTTTTATCTTGTGATGCCTGTACCAGGATACATTATTAGATTAAATAAAATGTGAAATATTCATTAAAATAAGGGTAAATGCATCAATGGCATAGCATTACCTTATTTACACGTATTGGTTTCCCATAAAGTTTTATCATATTCAGTACCTTTATTGCCTGCATTGGTAGTGCATTAGATAGAGAAAGCAACAAATACCAAAAACAAATCCATGGGGACAAACATATAATAGATAACAACTTCAGCAAGTAAAAGTACTGTGACAAGAAAAACAACCAATACACTTACATAGTCAGCATCTTCTTCACTTCGGAATTCCACAAAACCGTATCCCTGATGAGCATTCGTAACTCTGTCCTTGGGGACATAAACATTTACTGCAACACATATTGATTTATATAGCAAACAAGTGAGATATAAAAGAATCTAAAAATCTCCAAAAATTAAAAAAAGGCTAGGAGGATGCTGATGAATTTTTTTAAAAAAAGAGTGTTAAAATAACTTTATCAAGAATCTCCACTGATTTATTCCCCTTTTAAAGAGGCCATCTATTCAGTTAAAATAGACATACCTACTGGACCTGCTTGAACAAACAGCTCCCATAACAACTCTTCAGTAATCTACCAATCAACCAAAGAAAAACATTTAGTAACCTGAATCTAGAAAAAAAATCTCAATTTTCTGAGTTACTTCTATCCTGAAAGCAACAAAGAAATAGGAAAAAACAATCAGTGAGGAGCTTGTGGCAGAGGACAACAGTATAAAAAAAATAACTATAAATCAAACCCCACCAGCTCATATTTCAAGGAGTTACATTTCAGCGAGTTATAAAATGAACTGAACCATTTGACTCTGGTCTTTCTTATTTGTTAGATGTTTACGGGCAAGACTTTTGAGAAGTTTTTGTGTAGAGGGAAAAGATTTTACAATTTCCCAAGTGATACCGAGTCTCTGTGTTGCGTTTGAATCAGCTGTTCTTTTCTATTAGTATAATAATTTCGTAACTATTCCTATTACAGACATTGTGAAACTGCACCAGAAGCGTCAACAAAGAAGAAAAACCCTAGGATTAGAAGGAAAGAGAGATACCTGAGGGTCGAGATTGCCGACATAGGCGGTGGCGTCTTGGTTGCGCTCCGCCGCGTGTTGGCCGAGAAGGTTTGCTCCGACCCCCGGAGCTATTCGTGTCGTCATACTCCGCTCTGTCTCTCTCACGCTGCTTCGCTTAGCAACTTGCTTCTACATAACTAGGAGAATTAAAGAAGACCAAGAAAGAAAGAAAAACGGCGACAAAATGACAAAAATGACCCTTATAGACAGATTCTCCTTTTCTTTTTTTCTTTGTGTTTGTGGAGTTTCTGAATCACAAAAATGTTGTCTATAGAGGAAAAAGGATTTCATATTTTCGGTTAAATTTAACAATCTACTGCAAAATTTTAAAAAGGGATGATAAACTATCTTGATGTCAAAGAGGAAACTTAAGGGGGGGAAATCCAGGATCTCCACCAACGTACCTGCTACTATAAAACTGCACTAACTCAGTGATGCATCGTAAAGCTACTTGTTCATGTTCAGCACCTCAAAACAGCTAGTTACGGCTTTTATAAAAGAAGCAACTTTAATATAAATGATGAACGGTCTTGGTCTCAATGCATACCTCTCTATTTAGCTGAGGAAAGTGACGGAAGCTTCAAGGTATAGGAATGCTGGGTGCTTAGATCAACTTGGAGCATAAGTTCTTCAACGTAAAACGTCAAAAGTATTGACATGACAAATTTGCAAATTCGATGTGAGAAGAATAATAGCTCTCTATTCAATTGAATATCAATAAATAAAATATTGAAGGCGGGGTGATGCATTCAGCAAGGCAGTAAGAAACTAAAAAGTGAACGAAGTAATTCTCAGATAATGAAGCATCAAAAGTTTGCTTGACCATTACAGAAATAGTACATTCAGACAGAAGGGAATAAATCTCATTATTGAGTTAAATGAGATGAGTATCTAAATTTTTTAAAAATCACGGAAGCTATGAGTAATAAATAGAAGAGATATTACAGAAGAAAGTGCATTCATCTAATATGATGAACCACCTTCTGAAAACTTATTCATAGTTATGTTGCAGTTTCTTTTCTTTTTACCTGGCTACCTGTAAATGTTCAATCTCCTGTTAACCAAATATGATTTTGTATAACTGGTCGGAGTCCAATGCTTCCTCCATCCGTATTTCCAAAGTTAGATATGTAGCAGAAGCAATATCACCTACTGTTTTTACCATCAAAGACATCCAACTATCATGAAAACATACATAGGATTCATTCTATAACAACTGAGAGAACTGTTGCCCTCACGTTTTTTAACTTTGTCACTTCACTCTTCATTTAAGACCAAATTTTTTCAACGACCGGCTTATCTTAAACCCCCACTTGATTACATGTCAAATCCTCGCAGAACTGTTTTTCCACATTGCCATGCAATTTATCCAGAATTCTCCATGTTACAGAATCAGGTTCTAGTCCATTCTTTCTCATTTCACCAAGAATCTGATAAGCTTCTCTCTTCCAGCCCAATGTGCAAGCACCATTAATAACAATGTTGTAATTGATGACACAAAGAGTAACCCCACAATCTACTAATTCATATAAGAAATCACAAGCATCATGCAGTTTACCAGAGCGACAAAGCCCCTTGAGAATGGCTGCATATATGTAACTGTCATGAACTTTTGAGGGCCAAACAACATCGTTCCAGAAACTTTTGGCTTCATCAACTTTGTTGGATTCAAACAACCCATCGATAATAACAGTATACGTCGTGCAATCAGCAACAATGCCACCACTTAACATGCTATGGAAGACCTCCATAGCTTCATCTATCCGATGTAACTTAAATAACCCCTGGATAACTGCATTATATGTTACAACATTGGGCTTTAAACCTTTTTCAGGCATAACTCTATGCAATAACTCAAGAGCTTCTTCAACCCTCCCGAGTTTTAAAAACCCACTAATAACAGTTGTGAACGTCACACCATCAGGGGGACAAAACTTCTCCATCATCATATCTTTGAAAACCTTTTGAGCCTCTTCAATTCTTCCCATTTTGCAGAAGCCATTAATAACAGTATTCAGGGTGATCACATCTGGTTGACATTGAGTTTGAAGCATGGTGACAAGGACATTTAAAAGCTCAGTTGGGTTGTCAACAACACAAAGAGCTCTGAGATATATATTATAAATCCTTGTTTTGTCATTGTTTTTCTTATTTAACATCATATTGACAATTTCCTTGGCCTTAACAAGATCATTTACATGACACAAACCTTCTACCAATAATTTGTAAGTGAATTCTGACGGCAAGTAGCCAAATTGAATCCCTTCCTCCAACAACTGATATGCCCTGAAACAATCGCCTTCCTTGACGAGACCATGTACAATTGTATTATATGACACTAAGCTTGGATCAAATCCTCGTTTTCTCATTATATAAACTATCCTAGCAGCCCCATTATACCTCCCAAATCTACAAAGAGAATCTATCATTTGTGCATATACAAAATCCTGAACCACACTTTTACCCTGAGGCATATCTTCAACAATATTAAACACTTCATGGAAGAACCCTTCCCTACACAAGCAATTGATCACGTTGCAGAATGCTGCATTGTTTGCATGCATATCCTCTTCAGTGCGCATCACGCTCCAAAGCTTCCCAATCAGTTGTTTTCCATGGTCAATGTCCCTCTTTCGAAGAATCCCCCGAATCAAAGCGCTATAAGTGAGCGCATTAGGTATCACTCCGCACTCAGACATTTCATCAAGCAGCTTCTCAGCTTCCCGAACCTCGCCAACCCCGCAATACCCATCGATCAAAGTAGTATACGAAACAGCATTAGGAGAATGCCCTCTCTTTCTCATATCAACAAACAGCTGATGGGCATCTCTATTTCTTTCTAAAGTACAAAGCTGATGGATGAGACGGTTGTAATTCATTAACGAAGGTACAAACTGGGGCTTCTGGTAGAACAAAGCGGAAATAACACGCACAGATTCTTGCGGAGTAGCAGCGTAAAGCAAGCGAGCAATAAGGACATTGCAGGTTCGCTCGTCAGGGACAGTTGACTGGGAAGAAACGGCGAGAAGAAATCGCTGGTGGGCTTCGGAAAATCGATGGGAATCACAGAGAGCATGAATAATGCTGCTGAGATTGAGAGAGTCGGGATGATAACCCTGAAGTCGAAGCTCATCAAGGAGTCGAAGAGCTTCATCTACATTTCCGTCAATAGCACAAAGCTTATGAATTCGCCTGGTCCAGTAAGCTCTGTCAAATTCTTGTCCTTCAAAGCTTTGTTGATTGGTTAAATGGAACTCAAAGGTAGAGAAGAGGGAAAGAGATGAAGTGAAAGTTTTAGCAGAGTTTTGCAGAGGTATCAGAAACGGAAATTTGCAAAAATGCATTATTACAGTAGAAATGCATTGATTGGATTGTTGTGAATTTGAATTGGAGAAAAGAAATGAGCGAATTGCTCAATTGATCGATACATCGCTTATGGTGGGAAGAAAAAAAAAAGTGAATTTTCAGTAGTTGTTCAAATGATTTTAAGAAAATAAAGGGGGAAATGCAAAGATAGTCGAATGATGAACTTTGTAAAATTTTATAAGTTTTAGCCATTAAAACAACTTAGGTATCCGTTTAAAGTTTAGCTTGTCAAAGTCTAACTTCCAACATTTTGTGTGAAGTTATATCAAGCATCTCTTGTCTTTCAAATATCTTTCTTATTTAATTGTGAAATATCAAAGGCATTGATAATATGTTTTACAAAAATGAAAAAAAAATCCAACAATAATCTACATTACTCACTTTTTGTATTGAAAAATGTAGACCAACGTCCTCAAATTTGCATTTATGGTAATTTAAGGCTAAGGTAATGTTGAAAAGCCTCAATTGGTTATGGCTACAAATATGAAGTGTTATGCATACTGGCAGCCCAACAGAGTTACTTCAGATATAAATGAACCTTGTTGGTTCATAGTTTGGGCAATGAGGTCGGCCCATGCTCAGACGGAAAAAAACTATAAATTGTAAGTGTATCAATATGATTAAAAAAAAATATATACCATAAAATATTAATCAAAGTTATTATCATTTGACTTTAAGAAAAGAAATTATGACAACTAAAAATGAACGAAATGAATTATGAAAGAGATTTTATGTCAAGCAATAGGAAGGGAAAAGCTTTAAAAATGATGGATAACAGTATTTTTCTACTAAAGGCACAGGATTCACCTTTTATTCGAAACGCGTATCCATCACTTTTCATGCCACAATATGGCTGATTTAGATTTTAACCAATGTCTCTATGTAATTATTGAGATTTTTTCCTTATTTTTAAAAGTTATATAAATATAGCCCTTAAACGATTATATTTTCAGACCTTCGGGTCTAATATTTGCTTATGTATCGTTTAACTTTATACATTTTAGATCGTGATCTAATGTTTTCTCACATTATTTATGATAAATTTCAGATCGTGATCTAAACCAATAAAGAAAGCAACAAAATGATTCTAATTTCTATCATTGGTGTAACACTTTTGGCAAAATTATACAAGGTCAGGGTGGAGTAACAAATATTCTTTTATTCTTATTAAAAATATTGAGTTTGAATTTTGAATATGAAGTCACATGGTTGAAAATATCTTATCCCTCAAAGTTAAACATTATGAGAGAATTCAAATTAATCGAGACCCAAAATTAGTGTCAATCATAGCGTGAGAAGCAAAAATAAAAAATTAGCAAAACGACGCATGCAGTTAGAATGATTTCGTAAGACCAAAATTGAATCCGTGCATGATGTGAGTCCAATGAAATACAATTTTCGAACAAGAAATAGATAGAAAAGTTTTTGAGTGATAAAGTTTTTAGAAAAAGAAAAAGTTGTTTAAAATGAAAAAAAAAAAAAAAAAAAGCGAAAGCAGAGACATGTTGATTTTTTAAAATGAAATAACTCAATTTGAAACATTTTTCTGTCTTTTACCTCCTTTGTCCAACATGACACGTTACAAAGATTCCTCTGCAAAATACGACTTACTTTTTCCACCGTTCATCAATAGGAGTACTAAATCCAATGTAGTAATTAATCATATAACTTGCGTAAATTTCATAGCGTAAGAGTTAATTATATCATTTTCTTATATTTTTCATAATTACTTAAAATTTATGAATTTTGTATACATCATTAAACTTTCTAATACATCAACTGACAATCGAATATCTAGGTGACAGATGTATCCAAGAGGAGAGGGCCATATCAGAGAGGGGATAGGATATTCGAATACATCACTAGACTTCCAAATACATCGATAGAAATATGGATACATGGGTGAAGGATGTATCCGAAAAGAGATGGATATATCCAAGAAGGGAGAGAGGTATCCAAGAAGGGGATAGAGATGTATCCAAGAAAATAGAATGACGTATGTGAGAGTAAAATTTTGAAATTTTGTCAAATGATAAGAAATTTTAGAGATTATGATAAAATAAGATGTGCATTTAGGTAAATTTTCAACAATCTTTCAAGTTGCTTATTTTCAAATTTAATTATTGTTAATAGATAATTTTATACCACTGTTGCTCTACGATCGAAAAGTGTTGGTCAAAGGCTTAATCGTTTAAATCTCAAAAATAATTGTGAGTAAAATTATTGTGCAACTACCAAGACTAAAATTGTCTAGAATAATTGCAGCACAACTTAGACATAATAACTAAATCTGATTAATTAAAAAGGTCCACCACTAGTGACAATAATACTAATGGTGATCATTATAATACAAAATACCAGAAGTAATTAAGATAAACGCAGCTAGAAATCTAAGATGAAAGACAAAAATCAGGAGTACTATATATTTGATTTGATCTGATGACAGTGAAAAAGAAGAAGACAAGATTAATGATGAGGACAGAAAGTGAGGACGTAGCTGCTACCAGTGCAAGTGGAAATACTAGTGGGATCATCGTAAGCATATGAGTAAGCTTTGGGGCAAGCAGTTTTGAATATCCTTGAGTAAGCTGTTGGCTTGCAAGTTTGTGGGTTACCAAAAGTTCCTGTGCAACAATATCTTGGTGAATTGAAAGCTGAACATGCACTCTTGCAAGCCACCACTTCACTCTTGTCATGAGAACGAACTTGTAGACCTGCTGGACACATTGTATTCAAGTCACTCACACATCCAGCATAGCTGCATTTCCCTGTCAAAACAGACGGAAAAAAAAACTATCAAGCAATTTTAAAGGGCAAATTTGATTTCTTCCCGCTCGATATTCGGTATTCGCATTGGGGTAAAAGGCTAATCTAAAGTGGATTTTTGCTACTGTAAAGGCAAAATCAAAAACCCCACCGATCCAGTCATACAAGTGTAGATCTAGAACTACGAACTCCCACTGATTAGGTGAAAATTCATATAATCAACTAACGGAGCTATTATTATTGTTTGATCTAAAACTATCAACCTAATACTCGAGAAAAGAAAAGAGAAAGGGGTAATAATCTACATAATGACGAAATAAACCCTGCTACGAAACTGAGAACTTGAAGAAAAAAAAGAAGTATCGAAGAACTAATCAAGGACAAACAAGTCATTTAAATATTTTTAGGCATGATTCTCACCTTTGCCTCTGACTGGAGTTACAGAAATGGCGAGATTGTAACCATCTACGAGACTCACATCGTAGAAATCTTGTTCATTGCCCAGAGTAATCTCAGCCAGTGTAGCCGGAGGGGTCCCACCAATTCCATTACAAAAAAGTGAACCACCACAGTCCCCAGTTGCACAGCGTCCACGGCCAGTAGCATCAAAAGCGCATCCATGACGTCCCCAAACTCTACCGGACCATCCAACCGGCATACTAAGTCTGTATGCCTTATTCGGCGGAAGCTTAAACCCTCCACGAGCCAGAATCGGCTTACCTGCACTTGGCTGGATCCCTGGCCACACCGGGTGGCTACATTTGTTCAACAATGTCATTGTTGTAGCTGAAACTGAACCAAAAACACTAGCATTAGTAAGAAAAATTAAAGCAGACAAATAGCTATTCGTGCAGGAAATGAGTGCGTACCTGAAATGTGGGAAGCAAAGATGGTGAAAAAGGCCAAAACTAGAAAGAGTGTGAGAAATCGATCTGCCATGGCTAAAATTATGGAGAAAGCTGGATGCAACAAAATGCTAGTAAGAAGTGTGTACACCAGTTAGGTAATGGCAAATAGAAATGGGCTTTTTATAGAAAAAGCAATAAGTAAGAAACAGAGAAAAATGGAGATATACTAAAATGTAGGGTTACTTTGGATACTGAGAATGAACAAGATTGGGAGAGTGATATAGCAAAAAGATGGTGAACGGTAATTAGGTGGGCCTTTTGTGAATAAATGAAAGTTGCTAGCTGTAAAAGTTAAAAAAACAGAAAAATATCAAAAGAGTTCTCTTTAGTTTCTTTTTCTACTTCCTTCATTCTTATTTACTTAAATTTTACCATTATATCCTATCTAATGTTTTCTAAGTTAAGTTTTTAATAAATGAACATGAATTAATTATAAACTAAAAACTATTAAAAATAAAATAGAAAAAGAGTGTCACTATGTATTGATTTTGTGAAGTGACAACTGACAAATATTAAGAGACATTTATTTTTAATAATGATAACATTTAAATAGGAATAGTGAAAATATTATTTATTACGACAATAATTTTAAAATGAATAACTCAAATTATGTGTATTCAGACTTCGAGAGTTTAATAAGCTTTTCTTTTTCTTTGATTGTGAATTTTGTACATGTCTTTTGAATATTCTAAAAATCCAACTTGATAACATTCTAATAAAACCATGTTTTTTGACACCCCTTCGCTTAAACATGCATTCGACCCGTTATCTTTAAGCTATGTATACCTTAACTTCGATTAATTCAGATTGCATTAGCAATTTGATCATTAAAGATTTGTTTCCTCTACTTCTCAAATTTCTAGCCTAAAATTAATCCCAAATGTTGGGTAGAGACTAGAGAGGAGACCCAACAAGGGGAGATCAATGATAGAGATGGAGTAGTAGATACTTGCATGTAATGTCAGTTGTTACTTGTTAGCACATAACAAATGCAAAGATGGAATCTTGACATAATAATTGTACTGGATAAAAGAATAAAACAATGTACTCCTTCCGTCCCATTTTATGTGACACCATTTCCTTTTTGGTCAGTTCCAAAAAGAATGTCACATTTTCTTATATGGTAAGTATTTAAAGGTACAATTCTTTTTTTATTCTTGTTGGTCCAACTTAATCTTAAAATAATACTCCAATACATTTATGAGAAGAGAGAAAAGTGAATCTACTTTTTAAAGGGCAATTTGGTAAACATTTCAAAATCTTCATTTATTTCTTAAACTCCGTGCCTGGTCAAATATTGCCACATAAAATGGGACGGAGGGAGTAATTATTAGAGTATTACTTCCGTTTTCTTATTATTGGGTGT